GAGAAAAGAAATGTCAATCATTCAACAAATCACACTATAATAGCAATTAAAAGATACAGAAATCGAATGTTCTTAGGACTTGGATATTATTTTCTGATAAGATATCAAAGCCGATTTAAAATAAATTGATCACAATCTATAATCGCACTGAAACAAGGCATCTACACAGCTTAAACTTACAGATGGCTTTTGGTACGTCGGGTTGGCAGCAGGACAGGGCGTCCTAAGAAATCTTCAGGAAGGTTCAGGTGATGAAAACAGTTGTAGATTGGGAGATGCAGTGGTGACCTATGCTGAGATTGCTTTTTGTTGACAGACCGAGATCTCATGAATGCATCGGACTCATCGTCTTCCTCTTGTTCTTCTTCACACATGTCCCCCGCAACCTCCTCCTTGGAAGCAACCTCGAACCCAAAAGTATCCCCAACGTTCTTGGGAAGAGGATACCAGCAGCCATCCGGACCGATGACGCCTGTCTTTTCGCCGTCTTCGTCATCCTGTCCAGAGGCACTCGGAGAGAGGAAAGGGTTGATGGCGCTTGTCTTGAGAAAGGCAGCGTTGCTGGTTGCTGGCGAATCACCCAAGCCCTCCTTGTCGCTCGTATCTGGCTGATTAAAGAAAACCACGCAGGGACCATACGAGTCATCACTCTGTACACAGTCATAGGGGATTGCTGCGGAGCCTGCCACTGGGGAGGTCACCATGCACATCACTCCTGGGTAAGGAACCATGCTCCCGACGGAGGCCTGGTCGTAAAGGCTGTGTGAAGAGCTCCAGCTAGAACCTGGGGCCATTCCTTCCTGGTTCGATAGTCCAGGGCTCTTCCGGGGATCCTCAGCTAAGCCACTGGGTAACAGCTGCATGAAACAAACCTGGGAAGGCGGAAAGGAAGGCCCGTTGCAGAAAAAGGCAGGAGCGAGGCTATTCACAGGAGACGGGGTGGTCGCCTCAGGAATGTCACGTGACTCAACACTTGCATCCCTAAGGAGAAAAAAATCAATTTGGCGATCGGTTTTTCATTGCAAATAAGGAACATGTAAGAAATATCTATGAACACAGTCTACAGTCAATGTCCTTAATATCCTTTTTATTCAATATTATGTCGTGTATGTTGTGTATTGTGTGGTGTTTGGCTTGCGTGCATTCTTGTGTTTAAGTCTATGATTGTGGCGTGGTATACTGTGTGTGTGTGGCTTCGTATATCTAATTGTTTGTGTATGTTTGAATATTGTGTGTGTGTGTGTGTGTGTGTGTGTGTGTGTTGTGTGTGGTGTGTGTGTGTGTTGTGTTGTGTGTGTGTGTGTGTCTTCATTGGTGATATTAAGTATGTTCGAGTGTACATGTATATATTTGCGTGCTGGCGTGCTTGTGTGTATGTTTGTCGTAGAGAGAGAGAGAGAGAAGAGAGAGAGAGAGAGAGAGAGAGAGAGAGAGAGAGAGAGAGAGAGAGAGAGAGAGGACGAGAGAGAGATAGAGAGAGAGAGAGAGAGAGAGAGAGAGAGAGAATACTTGAAGCTAAGGGTATCGCTTCTGACATGAAAATATACAGGTTAGCAAGGAAAAACAGCAGGAGTTGTCTCATTTTTGTTCGAATGCCAAGAAAAAAATAAGGTTCATTAAAAATATACGCACTCATTCAATCGTATATTTAGTTCAGCTGAAGAATACCTGTCACAATATAGTCCAATTACAAACGGTCGCGCTCATTGCAAAAGCCACTCTAAATACGTTACAATAAGTGTTTAAGTTAACTTAATACCTATCCTTTCATAATGTAGATTTTTCTACTTCCTCTTTGTAAACTGTTAATGCTAATCCATGTCCTTTCCGTTTCTGGACCACGTAAATCATAGGAAATGACGTAGACAATCATTTATACGAGCAGTTTTAAAATCACAGCTCCAGGCGCCACGCTGTCTGGCGAGCCGGTTCCACGGGAAGTCACGACGCATAAAACCTAGCGATTGGAAGTCAAAATTGAACCTTTAAATAATATTCTGTGCTGAAATATGCTATCCATGAAATTCGGTGTGCTCTAAATCTTCAAAAATGTCCTCTATACCCTCAAATTTTATTCTAAATCCTCTAGTTATTGCAATTTCTGTCAGACCACGTGGCGCCACTAGGACCAGCTCTGGGATTTTAATTTTCTTTAAATCATTGGCCTTTTCTTTAACCGAAAATTTACAAGGATCGAAACAATTTATAGCCAACTATCAAACAACCAATACTATTATAAGTTTTATTAGCTATTTCTATTGATATATCCTCGGTATTAAGACCCCCTCCCCCCCATGTTGAAAAACAAACAAATAAAAAAGATACACTATAGTTTTAAACGCTGATGGAAAGGACAGTTAAATAAAATCACCCCATCAAAACCTCGCAATTCATATCATAAATGTTTTTTCTTCTATCAATAAAAGCTATTCCGAAAAGACGCAATGCAGTTACCTGTGTCTATGGAGTCCGGCATAATTTTCAGAAAGAAAAAACAAAG